TCTTAGCAGGCTCGGGAGTCCCCTGGCCTTCTGAGAAGTGTTCGCTGTCTTTTTTTCGGGGGTGGAGTGATTGTCCCGACTTCTTGTCGCGTGTGTTCCCGTGTTTGCCCAGATTCTTGGAGGTCCGATCTCCTCCCCCCGCGAGGCAGAATGATCCATTACGCAAACACAAACGTTTCGAGGTCCGCGCGGGCATCTTTTGGCAGCGAGCCTGCTGAGGAATGCAGAGCGGGCGGGCCTTCCCAAAAAAGCTCGGACGACCTCGGGCTTTCCGAGAAGTTTCTTGTCGTGGGTGGACAGACCTCCTACCCTGACAAGTCGATTAGCGAATTGGCCGTTTTCGGTTCGCGAGAGGGCGTCGCGTCCGTCATTTTTGCGGGTCCAGGCCCGTCGGTTTCGGTCCCAGGCCGTTTTCACCAATGGGAGGTTTACCAAAGAGAGGTTTGTCCACCGCCGATGAATACGCAGAGGACTTCTCAGATGGCACGAGGGCTTCTGAGAAGGCCCGCCGCCTTCTGCGAGGGCCTTCTCCCTCGCATTTCCCCCCTTGCTCAACGCCGACGAGAGACAGACCAGCCTCGTCTGGGGAGCTGTGGCCATGACCACCTCGTGGGCCTATCGGCCTGGACACCCCTCCCGAGAGACAGTCGGGACGATGGGATTCCCCACGGGGTATGGAACACGGCTCCCACAGTTGATGCTGGGAAGAAAGCGTCCGAGGGGGTTCAAGATGGAACGTCCCACTAGAGAGACCAAGCAATGCCACGCTATGACAAGAAGCAATACCGAGCAACGCTAAGCAAAGCTATGCAACGAAGGCAGCGCAACTCAATGCCAATCAGCGCTGGACAATGGCAACCACCGCCAAGCAACGCAATGTCAAGCAAGCAACGCCTAGCAGTGCCAAGCACTGCCAGGCAACTCCGAGCAAAGTGATGTAGAGCAGGCAACGCCAAGCAACGCCAAGCAATTCCAAACACTGCCAAGCAACGCCAAGCAATGCAGAGCAAGGCAATGCCAAGCAGCGCAATGCAACGTCAATCACTGCCAATCATTGAACAGCTCCCTGACTGGGGTCGCACTAGGTTCATACCTCTATTGCCCTTTCGGTCTCATGAACGTCAACGCCAACCCCACGGCCCCCAAGATCACTCCAAGGCTGCCCAACAGGGCCCTCTAGCACACCCAGCAGCGAACCCAAGAGAGCCCCGAGAGGATGGGCCCCAGGGGGCTCCAAAACAGCCGCAACAGAGTCTCGGGGTGGCTGCGGCATCCCCAAGACGCTGTCACGACGGCCACGAGCCTCAAGGAAATGGACGCGCCTCCCAAGAGGCCCCGCGAGGGTCCCATGAGCTCCAGACGGGCAAGTTTGTCTGATGTCCACAAGCTCTTCTGTATCTTGTTTTGCTTTTTCACCAGCAGGGCTCCAGATGACGCCCCAGCGTCATAGGGGGGGGGTGCTGACGCCCCACCTCCTCCTCAACTCACCTCCTCCTCCTCTTTCCTCCCTCCTCCTGGCGTCTGGCAGCCGTGTAAGAATGTTACTGTTTTCCGCTGTCCCTGTCCATATACACTCTGAGAGTGCTTACGTTTTCGTTTTTGTCGAGGGCCTGCTCAGGCCTGCCCCGCCTCGGACTTGTGGGAAATCAGAGACACGGCGCGCCTCTATGCCGCATTATTACTATTATTATGATTATTATTATTACTATTATTATTATTATTATTACCTCCTCCTGGGTGCCCCCCGATGGCTCTCTCTCCCTTCCCCCTGCGCGCGGGGGCAGGTCCGGAAGGCCGCCCTGCATTCCGTCAACGTGGTCTGCCTGTGCCCCTCCTGCAGCGAGATCCTGCGGGCGCGCCCGCGGGGGGGGGGCGCTGCGCTCCCGCCGAGAGGGCCCTCTGCGCCCCTCCGCCCTCTCCTCTCTGCCTCCTCCCCTTTCGGGCCTGCACCCCTACAGGGGGATTTTCGACGGAAGGAAAATCCTCCCAAATACTTCAAAAAAGGTTACAAATGCCCCAAAAATCAGCGTCCTCGGGGGCCTTGAGTCACCACCCACCAAAGCACCCCAACCCAACCCGAAGGCCCAAATTGACCCTCGATTCCCAGGGGGGGGCTCGGGGAACATCGAGAAAACACATGTGGAACCCGTGCCCCCCCCAACCCGAAGCTTGGGTCTTCGGGTTACGCAGGTTGGGATGGTCTGCTAGGTAGTCATTGAGGCGATCGGGTGGAGCAGCAGCAGGAGCGGGACTGACATCCGCGGTCGCAGCCGCCCTGCCGCCCGCCGCCTGTTCCGTCGGCTGCGCTGGAGCCGCAGGGGCTCTGGGCCCTCCCGAGCAGCTCGCCGCGTCCTGCGACGCCACGGGCTCGGTCGTGGGGCCACCCGCCCTGGGCCTCTGGCCCGGACCCCCCCGCTTGGTGGGGTCCCAGGACACCCAGGCCGCGGCACCAGCCTTGTCCGCCCTCCCGTCCTGCTCTCGCGGGATGGGTTTGGGCCTCTCGGCCACGGCTCGGGCCTTTGGCCGTGGATGTCAAACAGCCGCAGGGGGCTGTGGCCTGGGTGGCCCCGCCTTGGGGATGTCGCATGGCTGCTCGCTCCTGGCGCTGAAACGGTGCAGCTGGCGCTTGCCCACCTGGCCCTGCGGACGTAAGCTGCCGCTCGCTGCCGAGCCTCTTCCGCGCGGCGTCTGCCTCAGCGGAGCTGGCCAAGGTTGCTGGCAGTCTCGCCGAACAGCTCCTTGACCTTAGTCTGCAACTTTGTCGCGAACCTCGCCCGGAGATCCTTCAGCGCCTTCTGGCCGCGACCGTCAACTTCGAGGCCATCCGTAGAGAAGGCCGAGCCCGCCTCGAAGGTGAACTATTCTCCGTCCAATAATGCAGTGAGGTCCAACGTTGCGGGCAGACCTTCTGGAACGGGTTTGTGAACACCTCCCCGCTCAGGATGACCTCCATCGCGAGCCTTCTGACACGCCTGCAACGCATGCTCGGCCTCTGCCTGCGCCGCGGCACACAGGTAGGCCGCCTCCTCCGTTGTCTCCTTGCGCTCCTTGTACCACTCAAGAGCCTTGCGTTATGTCGGGCCTGTCCCCCAGACAGGGGGATTTTCGAGGAAAAATTAAAAATACCCCAGAATTACCCCAAGAAGGTCAAACAATACCCTAAACATAGTCCCCATGCTATTTTTGGAGTATTTTTTGATTTTTTCGTTATCTTTAAAACATTTTTCGTCGACAATCCCTGTGTAGGGGGACAGGCCCGACAGAAGCCTTGCGCCCACTCTCGGCCGCCATCTCCAGCGCCAACTCGGCTGTCCTCTCCGCTGCCTCCGCCCTGTGGTGGGTCTCCGGCGGCGGCCCGACCCTGGGCGGCGCGGCCGGGGGATCCAGCCTGATGGTGGCGAGGGCCTGGGCGATGTGCGGGGCCGCCCGCGGCAGCCGTCGGAGGATTGCTCGATCTCCTGCCTGCTGCTCCTCCTCCTCCTCCTCCTCCTTCCCCTCCTCCTCCTCCTCCTCCTCCTCCTCCTCCTCCTCCTCCTAATCATCTTCCTACTCTCCTCCTCCTCCTGCCTGCTCCGCTGCCACTCGTGGCTCCCGCCCTTGCCCCACGGCGAGCTTCGGGCCACTCCTTCAGGAGGACCAACCTCAGGAAGGAAAAACACACACAGACACAGTTAATCGTCGCGTCCCAGGAACATGTGGGAAAGTATGGGCAGTGGGGGGGAAGACAAAAACAGAAAATATGGGAAAGTATGGAGAATCTTTTTATTTGTGTGTATTCATTTGTGTGTCCTGGGGCCCCTTCAGTCTTTGCGACCACGGCGAGTCTTGGGCCACTCCTTCCAGGAGGGCCAGCCCGCCTCCTCCGCCGCTGCCTTCTGACTGCGCCTCTCCCCAGCCCCTTGCACCGGTGGGGACCTCCAGGGTGGTGGGGACACCCCCAGGGACTTGCTGCACTTGCAGCACGTGCCACGACTTTCCAAGCTCCATTTTCATCCGCAGGCCCCACGCTTGAGGCACCAATCTGACATGTGGACACGCACTGAGTGCCGGGGGACCTGGAGACGGACCACTCGTGGGGTGGACCACGCGTGACCTCGGCCTGGGGCGGACCAGGCGAATGCTGAGAGCTGCCGCGGATCAGCGGTATCCGTGTGCTGTCGAGGAGGAGGAGGAGGAGGAGGAGGAGGAGGAGGAGGAGGAGGAGGAGTAGAAGGAGGAGGAGGAGGAGAAGGAGGAGGAGGAGGAGGAGGAGGAGGAGGAGGGGCGAGGTGTACGAGGAGTACCGGGAGGCAGACAAGGAGGGAACCAGAAGCGGCGGGCACGAACGAACGTGAGCGGGTGGAGGAGGACGTGGCTGTGAGTTATCGACAAGAAGCGACACAAGCAGATGACCTTCCGGATTCGAGTCGGAGGATCGAGGATCGAGGATCGAGGTTCGAGGTTCGAGGTGGAGGAGGTGGTGGATGATGATGAGGAGGAGGAGGAGGAGGACGAGGAGGAAGATTGGAATGCCCCCCCTCTTGCCTCCCCTCTCGCCCTCGACGGCAGGATGGCGCCCGCGCCGCATTGCCGATGCTCGAAGAAGAAAAACACCATAAACATAAACTTTTGGAGTTCCGCGCGGATTTCTCGGATCGGCGCTGGGGCTCCCCCGGAATGCCTCCGGCGCTGCCCCTGGCGCGCTCTGCGCGCCGGGGGGGGGAGGGGTCCAGTGCCGATCCGAGAAATCCGCGCGGGCCTCCGAAAGTTGATGTTTGTACAGTGCCGTTTTTAATACATGCTCCGCGTTCGGATCATGTATTAGAAATGCAGGGATTTAGTACTAAAAGCAGTGATGAGTTCATGCACAAATTTATGCTTAAGTTCGTCATGCATCAAACATCCAATATTTTTAACAATCCCATGTATTAAAAACTGCCCTGTACAGTCGGGGCCCTGAAGAAGGAACCCTTTTCGTTGGGGAGGGGCTCCGCGTTCCTCAAGTGTTTCGCAGCTTTTGGCTCAGGTTTCCCTTATGTTTTCGATCGGAAGTCGAAGGTTAACTTATGGAAAAGAGGGGCCTCGTTCCTTATTTTAGTGTTCTTTAGGTCAAGGCCCCGGCTGTCCCATCTGCTGCTCCTCCAGGGGAGGAGTGGCCCTTCGCCGGGAGCGCCCTCCTGTGCGGCCCCCCCGCACGGGTCCAGTCAGCTCTGACCTGCGCGCCTGGACACTCGGCCTCCCCCCCCCCCCCGCGACCGCCCGAGGCCGCGCACCAGGGGCCTGTCCTGCCCGGAGCCACTCCTGCCGAACGAGCCACACACACACACCCATACCCATAGGGGGTTCGTTGAGAGGAGGACTGGCTATGGGTATGGGTGCGGGTTGTCGGACCCTGGGGAACGCTCCCGTTCGAGCGGGGACCCCCATCCGACAACACGCACCCATAGCCCTCTCCGACCCCCCCTACGGGTATGGGTGTGTGTTGTTGGTTCGTCACTCCTACGCGTAGCCTTATGTCGGGCGTGTCCCCCTACAGGGGGATTTTCGACGAAAAATACAACATGCCCCCAAAATACCCCCCAAAGGTCAAAAACTATTCAAAAAATAGTCCCCAGACTATTTTTGGAGTATTCTTGGACTACTTTTGGGGGTATTTTTCATTTTTCGTCGAAAATCCCCCTGTATGGGGGACAGGCCCGACTGAATCCTACGCGTAGCCGAGGGGTCCGCGCCACGGGCGCCGTCCTTCTGTGTCCCAGGCCGTTCTGTGTCCGCGCGCGCGCTCAGGGCGCCATCCAGGTCGGTGGTGCCTTCGCGATATGCGGGGGCTCCATGCGTGCAGCAGCGGTCATATGCCCTCCGGGGCCGGCGCGCGGTGCGCACAAGGCTGCACGCTCGTGCGCTGCCGCACGCCACGGTCGTCCCTTCAATCTACGAGCTTCTCGCATAGCCTTATCGCAGGCCTAGAGGTTGACATCAACACCAATTTCGTCGGTGTGCATCCACCGAGGGAAGAAGATCCCGATCCCGGTGATGGTGGTAATATTCTGGCTTCCAAGGTGGCCCACACATTACCACCAACACCGACATCTAGGATCATCTTCCCCTTGTGGAGGGACCCCCCTGTGTTGGTGTTGGTGCCCATTTCCAGGCCTCCACCCTCAGACCGCAGTCCTCCCTGATGGGGCCCGGGCACCTGAGGCCGTCGGCCTTACTTACCGCGTCGCTGATGCTTCGGCGATGCGGCGCGAATAGGGGGCCACATGCGAACCCTACCACTACCCACCACGATTTCTGAGGGGGAGGGGTGGGTTTCACTTCGCTCGGGAGCTCCCGAACGAAGTGAACCCCACCCTCCCCCTCAGAAATCGTGGGGGGTAGGGGTAGGGTTCGCATGTGGCCCCCTAGCGAAGCTGGACTCCGATGTCTCTGCCCCGGCGCTGCCCAGCGTCGGCGAGGCGCTGCCATCCTTGGGGCCTGCTCGCTCCAGATCCGCAGTCAGGAGGCCTCCCAGTCGCCATCGGGTGCGGTGCTGCGCGCCTCGGGGGGCTCCTATGCACAATATCGCAGGCATAGAGGTTGACACCAACACCAGTATCGGCGGTGTGCCTCCACCAATGGAAGAAGATCCCGATCTCGGTGATGGTGGTAATATTCTGGCTTCCAAGGTGACCGAAAGATTGCCACCGACACCGAAATCTAGGATCACCTTCCCCCTGTGGAGGCAGCCCCCTGTTTTGGTGTTGGTGCCCACTTCCAGGCCTCCAACAATACCTCCTTCTCCAGGCCCGATTCCGTGCGGCCGACGCGTGGTGCGCACAAACTGTACGCGCATGCACCGCTTACCCAAAAGTTTCTCCTGCATTCGCGAGGAGGAGGAGGAGGAGGAGGAGGAGGAGGAGGAGGAGGAGGAGGAGGAGGAGGAGGAGGAGGAGGAGAGGAGGAGGCGGAGGCGGAGGCGGAGGCGGAGGCGGAGGCGGCGGCGCGGCGGCGGCGGCGGCGGCGGCGGAGGAGGAGGAGGCGGAGGAGGAGGAGGAGGAGGAGGAGGAGGAGGCGGAGGAGGAGGAGGAGGAGGAGGAGGAGGAGGTGGAGGAGGAGGAGGAGGAGGAGAGAGGAGGAGGAGGAGAGGCGAGGCGGAGGCGGAGGCGGAGGCGGAGGCGGAGGCGGCGGGCGGCGGCGGCGGGCGGCGGCGGCGGCGGAGGAGAGGAGGAGGAGGAGGAGGAGGAGGAGGAGGCGGAGGAGGAGGAGGAGAGGAGTGGAGGAGGAGGAGGAGGAGGAGGAGGAGGAGGAGGAGGAGGAGGAGGGAGGAGGAGGGAGGAGGAGGAGGAGGAGGAGGATCCCCTCCCCCCGTCCCGCCGCTCCTCGCCTCCTCTCCCCTCGCCAGCGCGCCCGAGTCTGGGGCCACTGCGCGTTCGAAGTCGGGCTCCTCGCGGGGCAGCAGATCTGTCTGCCGCGGGGGCGCGCCGACTGCCAGACAAAAGTACTCCAGATGTCGTAATAAAAGGGAGGGGGTCTCATTTCGGGGGGGGTCTCTTCCAGGCTATCCTGGAGGGCCTGGCGGGGTCTGGGGACGATGTTCTGGAGGGTTCTCCCACGGGGGGGGGGGGTCTGAAATGGTTTGTCTTGGAGGGTCCAGACCCCCTCCCTTTTATTACGACATCTGGAGTATCCTCTCGCTCCGCCCTGCCTTCGACGGCACCCAAGCTCCCACCATCCTACCAAGGGGAGGGAGGAGACGAGAGAGACTTCCCCCATCCTCGCTGCAGGGCCACACGGACTTCATCTTCGAGCGCATCAAGGAGTTTCGGGGGAAGTCCCGAGAGGTGGGGTACTCCTCTCGTGTCCACTGGCGCTCCTGCATCTGTATGTGTGTATGCACGCCTTGTCGTCAGAGTGAGGGGGCCGAACGGTCATTCATTGTCCCTGGGTGTGTGGCTAAAATGGGGATCCGTGGTGAGGATTCTGCTTGTTGTGTTGTTGCGTTGTTGTTGTTGTTGTTTGTTTGTTGTCGTCGTCCCACCCGCGACTCACCCTTGACCCACCCCGCGACCCACCCCGCGACCCACGCTGCGACCCACCCCGCGACCCACCCCGCGACCCACCCGCGATCCAGCCCGCGATCCAACCCGCGACCCACCCCGCGACCCACCCGCGACCCACCTGCGACCCACCCGCGAGCCACCCCGCGACCCACCCGCGACCCACTCCGCGACCCATCCGCGACCCACCCACGACCCACCCGCGACCCAACAGCGACCCACCCGCGACCCAACCCGCGACCCACCCGCGACCCACCCGCGACCCACCCGCGACCCAACAGCGACCCACCACCCTCGACCCAGCCGCGACCCAGCCGCGACCCAGCCGCGACCCACCCGCGACCCTCCCGCGACCTACCCACATTGGTTTCGAGTGAATCGGCGCCTGCGGCGGGCTCGTTGTATAATTTGTGGAACTTTGGCGCCTGCATTTGCGGGGTGCTACGTGTATATTTGTTCGACTTCTGATTGCGTTGTGAATTAGAGTTGCTGGCAGTCAGCCCCACATCTGATTCAGCTGCTCTCGACCCCTCACAATTAAGATGGAGCAACTAACACATCGGAGGAGTCGGTTGAGGGTCAATGAATGCATCCGAAGTTGGCGCCCTCGAAAGCTCCGATCACCAGGCAAGTTGTCAGCGTCTGCGGACACTACTATGAGTTCTGACGTAGGACAATTAATTTCTTGAGTTCTTGTCACGGCATCTCCCTTCGTATGCACAGTCGGAGTCCAGGCTTGCGATTGGCCCACCCCCAATGTCTAAGGTCGGTGTAGTCGAGCGTTATTCGCACAGCTGAGTTCAGGTTAGTTATGTGTAGCCCGTGCTTCGGCTTTGGCTCAGCATTCGGTTTTCGCAGCTGTCGCTTCAGTCTAGAATCGCCTCTCCCAACCTCGCGTAACTTGCCTTGCCATTATCTTAGCCACCGTGGTCCTCAGCAAAAGAGTTTAGCCATTTTGAAAGTATGGACAATGCGGTGTACACTTCATGGTGTACGCTATGCCGTGTTAGCTACGTGCTGCGAGTATCGGAGCTGGAATACATGTGGGGTAAGTTATTTGGTGTAAGGCATGTCGTGCAAGCAGTGTGGTGCAAGGCATGAGATGTAAGTCATGCCGCGTAAGCTGTATGGTGTACACTAGGAGGTGCATGTGCGTTTGAAGAACTTGGAGTCGTCGATTCCACTGCTCGCGCACCCGTCCTGCCCACCCACCCTAAACCCATGCGGTGGCGATTGCGATGTCTGCTTGGCGTTGGTTGGTGCATCTCTGCGGCCGTCACCACCCACCAAACCACCCCAACCCAACCCGAAGGCTCAGATTTACCCTCGATTTCCAGTGGGGGGGGGTCGGGAAACGTCGAAAAAACACGCGTGGAACCCTTACCCCCCCCAACCCGAAATTCGGGTCTTCGGGTTGGGTTGGGGTGGTCTGGTAGGTAGTCAGGCCGCGCTAGCGCCCAAAAGCTCGCGAGCATAGCGGCCAGCGAGTTTGGCGCAGTGACGCGGCCGCGGCGGCGCTGACCGAAGTTGACATCCTAACGCGTCCCACAGGTCACGCTTGCGCGCGGGCTCTTCAGTGCGGGTCGGTAGCTCGGGCGAGCGCGGTATCATGGTGACGTCGGCGGTGATCGTGGCGATGATGGTAGCGATGATGGCGATGACGACGGTCAGGCTAATGACGGTGCTGGCGCTGGTCATGCCGATGATGTCCATGTGCTGTTGATGATAGTTTTTGGACAGATCCGGCAGGCACGCACGGGCATTCGATCGATCTCGAAATGTGCGCGCGATATGCCCGCGTAGTTTACGTTGACGGAACGGATGAAACTCTTGGTTTGTTTTGTCAAACAAAATTCGCATGAGCGCTCGCAGTTTTTTGGTGGAGCGGATTTTGGCGCATGTGTTCTCATATGGTTCCGATCGCGTGGATTTTGAAACTTTTGTGGCGCCCAACTTCTTCGAATGAGACCGACATGCGCGCGCGACGACGCGTGCGTGTGGATTTTGCAGTGTTTTTGTTGGTAAACAAGGGGTTCTTGGCCATTGTTTTTTTGCCGAGCGAGTGTGCGCGTAGTATTTTTGAACAGGAATGGGGGGTGGCCGATAACAGGGGTCTCTTTGTGATGGTATGAATCATACACAACAGAAGAGGTGAGGCAGGATCACACGTAACATGTACGATCGCAGGGGTAGCGATCAACCTGGGGAGCGGGTTGGGTCTAGAAATGAGCCATGGTGTGGGCTGCGCTGTGTGGTGCGAGCTATGGCGAGCGAACTGTGTGGTGTAATCGATGTGGTGTAAGCTCGACCCACGGGGCACCCACGAGCTCCTACGAGCGGCACGGGCGGCAGCGTGGCGCAGCTTCGGGTGGCCCGCGGGGCGCCCGCGAACGCACGCGCGCGCCCGCGAGGCGGCACGGGCGGCATGCGGCACAACTTCGGCGCACCCGCCCAGCGCCCGGGGCGCGCCCTCGAACGCCCGCGAGGCAGCACGGGCGGCAGCGCTGCGCACCTTCGGGGGGCCCACCGAGCGCACGGGGCGCCCCCCAGTGGGCTCCGACGTGGCACGGTCGACGGCGCTGCGCGGCGTCGGGGGCGGCCCAGCCCGAAGCACGGGACGCCCTCGAGCGCCCGCGTGGCGGCACGGGCTGCAGCGCGGCGCCACTTCGGCGGACCCCTCCGTCGCACGGGTCGGCCCCGCGATCGCCGGCGAAACGGCACGGGCGGCCATCGTTGCACAACCCCGGGGAGCCCACCCAGCGCACGGGGCGCGCACAGGCGGCCACGGGGCGCCCACGGGCGGCAGCGTGGCGAAACCTCAGCAGCCGCCCCCAGCGCGGTGGGCGGCAGCGACGAGGCCCAGCGGAGGTGGGTCCCACGCGGACCACCTCGGGACCTCGCCGCCCCCTGGGGGGCTGTGCGATCTGTGCAACTGTCGCCATTCTCGTGGGCTCCTGGGAGGCCCAGCGGAGGTATGTCTCACGTGGATCACTCGGAGGAACGTCGTACGCGTTTCTTTCAACGCCCCTGTGTTTCCATTTTGTATATTTGCCGTTTCTCTTCTTGCTGCGCTCTTCTGAAATCACTGCTGGGTGCTCTTCTTGCGCACTGCGGGTCCTTCAGAATGCCAGTCAGCATTGAATGGTCCTGAGTATAATCGCCACATGTATAGGAAGGGTTGGGTACATCACAGGGTAATTTACTGGCATGTTTTCGCACATTTTTCTTTTACCTCTGTACTATTTACAGACATGTTTTATGTATCTATTTTGATCTATCGATCTACCGATATGCGATCGATATGTCTACCTATATTTCTATAGAACTGTTTTGTGCCTGTATCTACTACCTACATACTTATCATCTCTCTCTATATATATATATAGATGTATATACTATTTATCCTCGGGGCAACCGTCAGGACAACCATCGGTACAACCCTCGGGCAAACGTCAGGACAGCCACCAGGACAACCATCAGGACAACCATCCGGGCAACCATCGGGACAACCATCGGGACAACCATCGGGACAACCATCGGGACAACCGGGAGACGCGCCCAGCGCACGTGGGGAAGGGGGGGTCCGGCCCTTTGGGCAATATATGTCCTCTACTAGGGGTGGAATTCGCGCAGCTTCGCCTCGCCCGCACGCGCGACATTGACCGAAACCGAAACTGATTTCCTGGTTGGGGCCACTTCCGTTCTCACCCCCCAACCTCCGATCGTAGCCGCGCGCCCCCGCAGTTGCGGATAAGAGTGGGAGGTGGTTGTGAGGGTGGTCGTCGGCAGCTTGCGAGGCTCGGAAACATCTGCGAGGAAACCCGCCGCGGCTACCGATTTTTTGAAACTTTGCGCAGCGAGTGCGCCGAAGGCGCCGAGTTTTTTGTTGAACCAGTGTGGGTGGGTCGTGTGTGGGTCGCGGGGGCGGGTCGTGGGGCGGAGAGGGTGGGACGCGGGGCGGGTCGCGAGGCGAGGCGGGCAACGCAGCGTGCGACTGTCCAGCCCACCGTGTTGATGAGATCGAGTAGTTTCAGGACGCGAGGGGAGATCAACAGGTGCATGGACAGGCATATTCCACAGAGGAAAGGGAGAGGGCGGGGGTGGACGAGGACGGGGAAGAACGCAGGAGGAGAGGACTGGAGGAGAAGGATGGAGAGGAGAGGAGGGCATGGGGAGGGAGATGAGCGGAGAAGGGAGAGGAGGGGAGGGGACGGGGTTGGAGGAGAGGAGGTGGGAACGGAGGAAGGGCTTCCCCGGGCCGCTCACCTCGGCATTTCGGGAGCCCGAGGAGGGTCGTGACAGCCGCTGCCGCCGCGGCGCGCGCCTCTCCGTCGCCTTCCCGTCGCGCAGGAGGACTCCAAGCAGAAGCCGGAGCTCATCCGGGAGGTGGACCTGGGCCCCTTCAAGCACAAGGCGTGGCCCCCGCGGGCTGGCCAGCCCTTCGGCCTGCGCGAGCGCGGCTCTGCGGGGGTGGTCGGGCTCCCATGGAACCCAGCCGCTGTGGCCTGCCCCGCCGGGCAGGCGCTTTGACGCCAGGCGCCCCGGCGAGTAGGTCGCATCACTTGCACGATTCGGGGAAGCCCGACGGGGTTCCTGGTTACTCTGGTCGCGAGGCCTTGCTTCTTCCCTGCTTCTTCGTCTGGAAGCTGGTGGTTGTGCTCGGGGAAAGGTATCAGCAGGGGAGAGTACCGTTGGATTCTCGGAGGGTTTCTGCCAGCTCCAGTTGTTTGTTGGCCTTCATGGTCCGCTTGGCCCTCGTAATTCGTCATACTTCTCATCAGATAATCTGAAAATACCCCGCCCACCCCTGCCGATCAAAAGGTAGCTTTGAGAGGGCTGTGGCTACCTGCAGTTCAGAGAGGCCCGAGCTCTTTCAGAGTACCTGTTGCATCGCTTTCCTCAAATCCTGGAGTGCTCGGTCTTGGTTGGTGTAGCCTTGTGGAACAGGGGCTACGACGTTGACCCTCCCTCTCCACTCTGCCAGGTTTGGGATGATACTGTCAAAAACCCTGATAAGGACGCGCGACTTTGCTCAGGGTACCCTTGCGTCCTTGCTCTTCCTTGCTCTTGCGTCCTTGAGGTGTTCGTCGTCCGCCGCCCCAGAAATCCCAACTTCGGCTTCCAAGGGTCTTGCGTCCTTACTGCGCGTCCTTATTAGGGTTTTTGACTGTGCCCCAACCTTTTCATCCATTGGCCCATATTCATGTTGGGATTGGCATTTCTTCCGTGAGTGATCGGAACCATGCAGCGAGCTTGGACGATTGACGCTTCGAGTAGCCCTGGCAGCCTGATGAAATTCGTAGAAACGGCTCCTGGGCGAGTTGTCATAAGAAGGGTGGTGGGGTGGCATTATCTGTTCGCGGACTTCAAGCCGCCAGCTGGAGGTTCATCTTCATCACACGCTGCCAACACTCAACTCGAATACAGCGACAGGTCGGCATCACCCACACATACTTCGTATACTATGTGTGCGTCGGTCCCGCAGGGGTGACGAAAACGCTCAGACATTTTACAGTGTGCGCTTCTTGGCGGGCGCTTTCTCGTCACGCCATTCGTGGGACGACATGCTATCATGCTGCTGTTCGCACTGCTCGGGCCGTACGCGTCCCAAACAGAGATGTCCTTCTGCGTCTGAGCAGGCCATACGTTCGGCAGCACCTGCATGTGAGGAGCTGTGGGGCCTCCGAGCCAGGTGGACGACGGGCTGCCGCTGCGGAAGTTTGCCTACACGGCAGCTGGCTCAGCCTCACGGCTTCCGCGAGGGCCGGCTGGGTCGTCGGATCGCAGCAGTGGCGGGTCGGCTCCTTCTGATGGGTTCGAGGCCGGCCGCGGTGTCCTGGCGAAGCGTCGGCAGCTTTGAGACGGGGGTCCATGCAAACGGGGGTCGGCCAGAGCGCTGGGTCTCGCAGGATCCTGCAGGGCCAGGGTCGCATGAACCCAGGTTTGGGTGCAGGGTCCTGCAGGACCTGGCAGGATCCTGCAAACCCTGACTGACCCCGGTCTGGATTGACCCGGGCCAGAAGATCCCCGAGATCGAAGGAGCTTCACAGGCGAAGTACGGGCTGGATTCAGCAGTGTCATGGGCCAGCTAGAGTTTTATGGCCTGTGCCTGGATATGCTCTTGTGGTCTGCTTCAGCGGGTGGCCCCCCCCCCCCCCCCACCCTCGCCTCTCTCTTCGCCAAAGGCTCGGGGAGTGGAGGTAGGACAGGAACAAATGCCCGGGATTTTGTTTCAGGCATGGATGCGGCCCGTGATATTGGGTTGAGTGTCCGAGTCCTCCCGCGCCTCTGTCTCCCAGTGGTATGGGTCAATCGCCACTTCACGCGTGCATCGCAACGTTGTTATTGGGAAACCACCTGGAGTGCCTCCGCCCTGAAGCGACGGCAAACCGAACACGCAGAGTGCTGTTTTGGTCGATGCTTGCTCTGCGTCCTCCAACAACTCTCCTGTTGATCCAGTCTCTTGGCCCTGCTACTCTCGATGATCTCGCTGCACCCCTCTGGTCTTAGCCTCTCTCTCTGCGCAGACAAGCGACCTCCTAGTCATGGGAGGTTCATCCTATAATTGTCGTCATCTCTCGACGCGCACGGGAATGTGCACATGGTCAATTCGCTTTGTATTGCGGTAGGTCAGTTTCGCTCGACTTCGGCACGTTACCGTTTCGCCGCCGCCGTCGCCTCCTCTCTCTTCTTACCCCTTAGACCAGCGGTACGGACGCGAGCTCTGGACGTCAGTGTTGTTCGGCATCCTCCTCCTCCTCCTTGCGCCTCCATTCGCCTCATTTTCCAAATCTGTCCTTACTCTTCGGGGCAGCCGCAGGAACGCCTCAAATTTCGAAGAAGATAAAACGCCATAGACATAAACTGTTGGCTCTGCGCGCGTATTTCTTGGATCCGCGCTGGACCCCCCGGGCGGCGCCTCCGGCGCCGCCCCTGGCGCGCTCCACGCGCCAGGGAGGGGTGCCCAGCGCGGATCCAAGAAATCCGCGCGGAGCGCCAGAAGTTTGTGTTTATGCTGCTTTTTGCCCCGTCTAGAGAAGGTACCCATCACCGCTGCCCCTCGACCATTTTCCCCTTCCTCGGGCCTCCTGGGAGGCCCTCGTCGCCACGGCTGGATTCGCCTCGACGTCCTGGTCAGGACGCTCCCCGGGAGAGTCCCGGGGAGCAGCCTCGGTTCGGGGCCCCCAAACGGTGTGGTGACCACACCGTGCGGTGAGTCGGTGGGGATTCGGGGTCACCGCACGGTTTTGGGACTCGGGTCGTTCTCCGAGGATGCCTCGGGCGACAGGGGCCTCCGGGGTCCACCAGGACCGTGCGGGAACGGACCGTGCGGTGAGGTCTCTTGGGGTTCCGAGGCCACCGCACGGTCCGTCACCGCACCGTTTCGGGACTCCAAATATTGGGGGGCCGAGGAGGAGGAGGAGGAGGAGGAGGAGGAGGAGGAGGAGGAGGAGGAGGAGGAGAGGAGGAGGAGGGAGGAGGAGGAGGAGGAGGGAGGGAGGAGGGAGGAGGGAGGGAGGGAGGGAGGGGAGGAGGAGGATGGGGAGGAGGTGGAGGAGGAGGGGGAGGAGGTGGTAGTCCAGTCCCCTCGGGTGCTGTCGGCAAGCGCCGCAGGCCTGGGGCGGCCGCGCACGCGCCGACCCCCACAGCGACGCGACGACGACGGCGGCGGCGCAGACGCCCGGCCCGCTCTCGGGGCTCGGCGCGCGGGCCCTGCTGCTGCGGGGGTCGCCGCGGCTCGCCGATCTCCGGCCGTGGACCGTCGCCTTCGCCGCCCCCTCGCCGGCACTGCGCCACTCCGTCGCTCCTCGCCGGCACTCGCCTGCACCGTCGCTCCGTCGCTCCATCGCCGCCCACCTTCGGGCCGTCCTCCGTCCCTCCATCGCTTGTCGACGGTCGGTCGGTCGGATCGGGCCTCCTCCTCCTCCTCCTCCTCCTCCTCCTCCTCCTCCTCCTCCTCCTCCTCCTAGGGAGCTCCTCCTCTTCCCTCCTCCTCCTCCTCCTCCTCCTCCTCCTCCTCCTCCTCCTCCTCCTCCTCCTCCTCCTCCTCCTAGGGAGCTCCTCTTGCTCCTTCTTCTCCTCCTCCGCCTCCTCCTCCTCCTCCTTCTCCTCGCCTCGAAATGCCCGACCCGGCCGGCCGACCATCGCTTGCACTGCGCCGTGGTCCCCGCGCGTGCGCCCGCGCCCGCCGCCCGGGCAGCGCGGGGTCGGCGGGGCACGGCCGTCGCAGCCTCGCTGCCCCTTCGGTCGGGGGCTGCGGCCCGCAGGCCGCAGGGTACCCTCGCGGAGCACATGCCGCAGGAGGATGGCGCCCAGGGCTCCAGTCGCGTTTTGTTCGCGGCGCTGTATTCTATAGGGCGTGGCCCGACTGTGTGTCTCGCGAGGGGAAGCGAAGCGAACCAGACTGCACAGAGTGGTCGCACCCGTTACGCGACGGTGTCATTCTCGGCCGCCAAAGGCGCAACCTATGGCGCAACCGCCGAGGGCACGACCTATGGCGCAGCTGGTGGGAGACGGCCGCCAAGGGCGCAACCTATGGCGCAACCGATCGGAGACGGTTTTATTTTCGGCCGCCGATTCCGTATCCATTTTGGCTCAAGGCGATGCTTCCCCCTGGGAAGAAAGTGGATGCCGCTAGTCCGCGGCTAGCCCCGACTGTTTTCGCTGAGCCTCATAAGTTCAGATCACTCGCGTTACTGTCTTTCGCGCTGATCGTGTTCTGGTCGTGGCCATGGCAGAATGCTGGAAGTGCGCGTGCGGCGAGTGCAATACGAAGGGGCGAAGATCTTGCGGCGTTTGCCGGTTGCGGGGGAGATCGTGCGCCTCGTCAGCCCTGGGGTGTCGGTGGGCCGAAAGGAACCGACAGCAGTTGGGCAAGGGAGCCTTGGCGCGGACGGAAGCAGAGGCCCAAGCTTGGCAACGCCTCCCAGCCGCCTGCTGGGGCCATGCTCACCGCGGAGGAGATCCCGACCTGGGCTGACTTCCCGAGCGACGCCTACGAGAAGACGAAAGGGTCCCTCTCCCATTCCTTTCGCAGCAAGGTGGGCAATGTCAGACGTGCTGCGGCTGCTGCGGCTGCTGGTGTGCTCGGAGCTGCTGGTCGCGAAACCCCGCGGGCGGTCGACAGGGCTGCCAGGGCGTTGCAGACAGCACGTGGCAAGGTCGCCGCAAACAAGGAGAAAGCGCTCAAGCTGCTGGCTTCCATCGCCGAGCAGGAGGGGGAGGTCGCCAAGTTGGAGAAGGAGCTGGAGACAGCGAGGCAGGACGCTGCCAAGCTGTACGGCGGTAAGTATGACCCAGGTGGCATCGACGGGAAGAAGCTCAAAGACACCATCGGTGCGCTGGCGGTCGACAACTTCTCAGCAGCCGACGTCATCAAGGCCATCCTCACCGCGGTCGACAAGCTGGACACCGACGCCGAGGCCGCCACGCAGCCCGTCCCGCGGGCTGAGGCAGCTGGCGGATGCGAAGGACCCCCTGCGCGCGATCCAGGAGGAGGAGGAGGAGGATTTTTTGACGCGGACGGATTTCAGAGCTCCACGCTCCCTCTGAGTCCTTAAAAGGACAGACGCCTGCTGCAACGAGGAGGTGCAGCAGGCCTGTACAGCGCGACCAGGGCGCGCAAGGAGAGCGCCGGAGCACGTGCTCCGACGCCCAACCTACCCACCACCTGCTCCATAGGTGGCCGCGTTTCGGACCCCGGGACCCCCAGGACCGAAACCAAAAAAGGGACCACGACACGACGCGACACGACGGGGGGACGAAACGAACGAAGCGACACGAACGACACGACACGAACGAACGACACGACAGAGACGAGCCGCCGGTCCCGCCCCAGGGCGGCGAGTGCTGGAGGGAACCAGCACCGCCCTGGGGGAGGCCACGGGACCTGGCGACCCCCCCGGGGGAAGGAAACCGCACTTTGGCGGCGTCCCCCGGGGTGCGGGGGATTTTCGCCCCTCGGGCCCGGCGCTCCCCGCCTGCGCCAGGAGGACCCTAGGGTCCCGACCCCTCCCCTACGGGAGGGGCCCCCTCGGGGCAGGAGGAGGAGGAGGAGGAGGAGGAGGAGCAGCAGGAGGAGGAGGAGGAGGAGGAGGAGGAGGAGGAGGAGGAGGAGCCTCTGGCAGTGAAGCAGGAGCTGCAGGTGAAGCCACGCGCAATGCTGACGCCAATGGGCCCTCCTCAGAGGAGGCTTTTGACGCGCTCATGGCCCGTGAAGGTCTTGGCGGCCTGCTGGGTACTTGCGACGACCAGGGGATGGGGGGGGGGGCGGAAGCGGATTGCCGAGGCCCAGGGGCACCCTCAGGGCGTGCAAGAAGCCCGAGAGAGACAAGCCAGGTGTGTAGCTTGGGTAGGCGGCTGTGGTGAAACGCCTCGTTCATCAACGCCAGAGCATGCAGATGCGAGGCCGAGTTTCTCTACAACAGCTTCCTCTACGAGGGCTTCATCTATGTGCAGGGGGCCCACCTCAGACAGGAGCGGTGCGATGAGGTTTCCGACGAGCTCATGCACGGCGGCTGGCGTCGCATGGCCAGCGCGGCGGCTGGGGCCGCTCGGGGGCTGTCAGGACACGGGGGGCTAGTGCAGCCAGCTCCCCGTGCGTGTGGGCTCGGGGTCTTCGAGCCGATCTACGACTTCAGCGCCTGCCCGGGGGGCGCCAGTTCGGGGCGTCTCTTGGGTGTGGTCCCTGGCGGGGTCGAGTGCATCAATTTCTACTTCGCGGCGAAGGGG